AAGAATTGCACCTTAAAGCTATATAATTGAATTATATAGTTTGCACGACTAGAATCTTGTCAGACCAACGATGATAGAAAATCTCCAGCCAGTAGTTTTGGGCTTATTTTCGTGTATGTACCTCAGAGATATCATACAACTGTTAAAGTTGGATTTGAGCACTATTGTCTTCTGCCAGTTGCTGCAAATGGCCAGATTGGAAGGTGTGACGTTTAAATACAAAAAGCCCTCCTGTAGTACTTTTCACATCAATCTTTTAACACTTCCATTGCTTTGCTTGGGACAAATCTCATTTGGTATTTTTAAGGTTAGGTATACTTCTATGCTATTGCACACCTGCTGAAAAAATAAACTGTTGGAACACTTTGTAAAATAAAACCAAGAAGTATAGTTCAAGATTGTCTTCCATTAGTTCAAATTACGTCTCCAAGGGCTAGTCTGACATTCCATTCATCAGTAAATGAAGGAAGAATTTACTTCATTATTATTTTCATTGGAAGTTATTCATCTTGAAAATACATCATCATCAGAAAGACCATAATAAAAGATTGGCCACGACCATAGCCTACCCTTCGACCTCCATTATAATGAAACCAAAGCCAGTGTAGTTATTGATCTCGAGCTCTTGCCTGACCAGAATGCTTCAGATTGACAGTTCTACGTGAGAATAAGGAGATTACACTACCATGTCACACAATTTAGAGAGCAAAGTTCTTCTATCATTGACATTCTAGCCTATCAATTCCTGATTATCCAGTTGTTAAAAGAACAAGTGCAGACGTGAATATTTATGATGTTGTCTGTTGTTTTTAATGAGCTTATCTGTTATCTTTTCATTACTTTGTTACAGAAGGTATTTGGGATCAGATAATATAACAAATCTACAAGAACACAGAGAAAACAGAACATGTCTTGTTTAAGGGATTGAAAAGAGATTTTCTTAACTTTTTAAACTTAGTGTATTCCCGACAGTGATAACATTGATTTGCATGATTCCAAAAACGACTGAAAATCGGAATGGTACAAATAGCTCTGTGTGTTCTTCATACTCATAAAATATTCATAGTTATCATCTTTCCAGTTCTTTCTCTGCCTAATTTTCAATTGATAAAACCTGCTGAAGAATTCCAAGATAATAAACGAATTTTGAATGGCCTATTGATTATTATCAAACACCATAATTATGTTTCTGTACAAAATGGATACTATTACTTCCATGATTACCTGTCTTCAAATGAGAAAATGATTACCTTGTTATTTTTCAATGATTATTATTTTCACGCAGTCGAGAAGCTAATAACAAGGGAATAAAAACAAGATATATGACAATAATCTAACTTTCTAATCTGGTATTTAAAGAGACCATGTCATCAACCAAAAAAATTACCATGATCAAGTTTTGGAAAAATAAGGTCAAGTACTGCCACTGTCAGAAAAGATCTGAAGATATCCAACTACCAAACAATTCAATTGATCTAGATCCAACAACCAACGACTACAACAACAACCATGACTACCACCAACTACTAAAACCAACTACTACGACTACAACCAACTACTACAACCAACTACCATGACCACCAACATTACCTAGTCTTTGAAGGGACAGATGTGCTATTTGGGTGTTCATTTGAGTCTTGAATATATGTAAATAGTCTTTAGAAGTACTAGAAAGTACAAAATTCACATAATATCTCGAACTAGGAATTTCTTTTCCTATTTCTGTAGATGTCTTTTCTATATATGGCAGTGTATCAAGAAAAGAGGACTGGTTTTTGTAACTGTCAAACACAGACAATTCTGGACAAACACAGATTTGAAGGCTCAAATTTCCATGGGTGAGCTGTGAACACTTTTACTGATTGGCTAAGCCAAAAAATTAGTTTCTGGGACTGAGGTATGATTGGTCAAAAAATTGGCGCATCTGTCCCTTTCAATATCAACATTTGCTGGAAGTGGACTTAAAGCAATTTCATGAACGAACCCAATATTGGTGGACCACCTTTCCATTTAATTAGATGATGCTATATTGACGTATCTTCCAGAAATTTGAATATGCCAATATTTTCCTGAAAATATGTATCAGGTATTCATACCTTAATCTTGCTTGGGAATGTCGCGTGAAATTTTTCGTGCTAACTCCCTATCGAACCAAAACTAAACTGAAAAGCTTTACATGGCAAGTCTGAAGGATAATGGTTTAAAATGAAGCAAATGCCTCACTTTAGAACTGACACCCGAACTTTAGATTGCCTTTTTTCAATTAGATACATCCAGACTCCCTTTTGCCTCATTTAAACTGGGATTGTACTACTGCCTTAACATCCTGCTTCAGTTCTTTAGTTGACAATCTTTCAATCTTATGTCTAGATCAACAGGTCCCTTTCTCTCAATCAATTTAATGATTTTCAACTGCAACATACATGCGTCATTTCATTTTTTTAAAAAGTTGTCTTAATCATAAACATAAACAACAGCTGTTGATAGAAATAAAAAAATTCAGAGATACAGCTGTGTTGTCAACAAATCAATAAGTATTAAGAGACTTATAGTGTGTTCAAATTGTTGTTACTGGCTTTAACAAGGTCACTACATAATATCTGGAGATTAGGTTAACAAAATTTCATGGATTCATGGAAGATCTTTCAGATTCCACAATCATATTAGAAATCCGATTTCAATTTAAAATCAAATTTATTTATATATTTTGTGGTTTGTTCAGATAAAAGTTCAAATACAAGGGACATGTCATTGATGTTTTGTTGTAAAGTGAGTTCATATCGGATATTCTGGAAAAAATACTACCATGCTGCATTGCCACCAGAATAGTTTTCTTGGGTATAAGAGTTGTTATTATTTGGTAGTAAAGAGTCCACCCCAAACTCTAATTTCAATTAACAAATGAGTAGAGGCAGCAACCACTAAAAAAGGGCAGGTTACGCCTTAAATGTTAGGTGTATTCAACTTTTATTAACCCTTTCGAAGTTTTTGCCAAGTTGGTTTTAGGGAAGCTCTTACATCATTTAAAATTTAAGAGATCTTTTCATTACCAGCATATATGTATAATTGATTTCCCTCAATTGAACAAAAAAAAGATATTTTATAAAGTTCAATTTCAACATTTTAGGTGCATTTTAGATTGAAAGCATTTCAGAGTGAGCACTTTTACACTTCTCCTCAATATTTCACATTATGAAAGTGCATTATTTAAGTTTTAGACATATAAGAGCAATATCAACATTCAAAGTACATTTTCAGATCAGATTTATCAGTGTGAGCACTTTTACTGACTTCCTGTATCCTCTTTAGAGTACAATATTAAATATTCTAGTTACTATTAGACTGAGTTAACTAAGCTTCTATTTTTGGTAATGGTTTAGTAATGAATTCTAGAGGGATATAAATTTATCTTTATTGTAACAAGTTATCCCCTGTATTGTAATATGATAGAACAGCTGACCATCAGTCTACTTCCTATATTAACATCAACCTAGAGCCCTGGCCATATATTTATGAAACGATCTTAGCAATAGGATGTCCTAGAATCAATGTTAGAAGATAAGAACCAGGACATTCTAGCGCTAAGATCCTTTTGAGAATACGTGGCCTGGTTCCCAGTCTGGGGTGTTTTCATCCCCTGTCAGTGTGGGACTAAGGTGTCAGGGTGTGGCCACATGCTGCAAATGTGGATGAATCAAATTTTTGGGTGTGAAAGGTCCATGTGATTGCTCCAGGGGTGTGAAGGCTGAAAAAGGTTGGGAACAATTGACCTAGAACATATTGCCCTGTACTTCTTGGTATCCTTAATCCAGGGAAAATTTCATATTACTGGTCTTCCTTAATAGATCTGAACAGGATCTTTATTTTCAATAGATGATAATAATGAGATCATTACATGTAAGAGATTATGACAAATAGGAGGCCTTTGCACAATACAAGGGAAGCTCTGTATATATAAGGGAGATCTTTGCATACTAGAAACCTGTTTGGGATTGTAAAGATGTTTTCTAAATTCAGTATGCGTATCAGGGACTATTCCAAATTTCAATCAGATGTCAGTGGTTCTAGCAATTGTACTAAAACTAAATGTTTTATGACGTCACCCCTGCAAATGTGATACTAGCAAATAGCATCATAAAACACTAAGTTTTAGTGGAATTTCGCAGATGTCTGATTGAAAATTGAAATGGTGCAAATTGGTGCTATCAGTGTCCCCTGATATGCATAAAAATTTATAAACCTCTTAACAGTTTCAATCAACAACAGGTCTTTCAAATAAGGATGTCCATATTGTATATTGTCATAATCAAAAAAAATGGTGTTGCTTTGAATCAATTTGTGGAAGGGGGCAAGTAGGGGCTACATTATTGTTAAGGGAGCATCACTGCAAAGCCAAGTCCCTCTATAGAAAAATGACACTGATCATTCTGTAGCTAGACTTACAATAAAAAAAACTTTCAAAACACGAAGTAGACCTAATAATCTGTAAATCATGTTTTCCACTGCAATTGATCTCTTCTACATATATATCTGTCTATAACATTCATTCAACAAATTTAATTTAGAATGAACACAACACTTATATTTGTACTAAAAAGACTCAATTATCTTACAATTGAATGGCGGACTGTATTCAGGACAATACATACAGAACATAGACTCCTAGCTCTGTTGTTTGCAGCATGTTTTGTCAACAATTAAAGCTCATTTCATGTTTATGTGTGAAGCGAGTAAGAGACCATCACAAATTTTCTTAAGTCTACAGCAAATTGATCATTCAAATAATCAAAATCTTTTAATTTGAATTTTCATTGTGTGGAATTTAAGTGCATGCAAACCAGACCATTTCATGTAATGAGACCAATGTTCATGATGATTCTATCTAAGACCATTTACAGCCTAATCAGTAGAATGAGAGTTGCAATTCACAACTCAGTAGAATGAGAGTTGCAATTCACAACTCAGTAGAATGAGAGTTGCAATTCACAACTCAGTAGAATAAGAGTTGCAATTCACAACTCAGTAGAATAAGAGTTGCCAGTTGCAATTCACAACTCAGTAGAATGAGAGTTGCAATCCACAACTCAGTAGAATGAGAGTTGCCAGTTGCAATTCACAACTCAGTAGAATGAGAGTTGCAATCCACAACTCAGTAGAATAAGAGTTGCCAGTTGCAATTCACAACTCAGTAGAATGAGAGTTGCAATTCACAACTCAGTAGAATGTGAGTTGCCAGTTGCAATTCACAACTCAGTAGAATGAGAGTTGCAATTCACAACTCAGTAGAATGTGAGTTGCCAGTTGCAATTCACAACTCAGTAGAATGAGAGTTGCAATTCACAACTCAGTAGAATGAGAGTTGCCAGTTGCAATTCACAATTCAGTAGAATGTGAGTTGCCAGTTGCAATTCACAACTCAGTAGAATGAGAGTTGCAATTCACAACTCAGTAGAATGAGAGTTGCCAGTTGCAATTCACAACTCAGTAGAATGAGAGTTGCAATTCACAACTCCGTAGAATGATAGTTGCGTTTGACACTAAAAAATGCTTTTCTTCTTTGCAACCAACTGTTGATGGTGTGAGGGCCACATCATACACATTAAAATACCTGAAATTCCATTACGTTAGGTTGCTAGGTAGGGGTTTGCCTACTACTGTGCTATATGGAATGCATCAATGGATTAGTCTCTTTGATTGATGAGAATTGTCAGAAATATTAAATTGAGTATGGTGGACCTAAATAGCATCTGTATCCATTTGAACCTTTCCTAAAAACTTGACCAATATTACTTTAAAACCTGTTTGGAAAAAGCTAAATGTCAACATCTGCTGAATACTTTATACCTTGCCTAAAGGCTTGTTCAATATCATAAAATTCTATTTGAAAAAATTTGCTCAAATACTTAATTGTGAATCATAATGTCTTTCTAACCTTGACTAAGAGCTTGGCTAACATTATTACTCAATAGAATATTACATATTTTATAAAAATGCATCTTGTATCAAATTCTCAAAATATATTTCTAACCTTGCCTTAAGATTTTAGAATAGACCTCATTAGTAGAGTGATATTTTGCTAACTTGACAGCAAGTTGTGAAAATGTCTAATATTATTATTATTAACATTAAACTTACATCCTATAAAACATCATAACACTAATATCAAGTGTTTACATTTGTTACAGTGGATAAAACCCTGTCAAAACCAATGAAATATAACCTTTCAGAAAAAACACATAAGCTATATGAAATGAAACACTTTTTTCAGTTAATACAACAAGGTACAAAAGTCACTGAATTTAAATTAACTTTATATCCATTAGATACTTAAATTTTTGTCACACTTAATCTTAAAGGGACAGGTTTGCCATCCGTTTGACCAATTGTACCTTAGTCTCGGAAACATGCATGTTTTAGCTAAGCAAATCAGTGATTGTCTTCACAGTTCATCATCAAAATTTGAAAATAACTAAATTAAATTGAGTTTTACATCCTTATTTTCTGCACCATGTGGGCTAATGAAAACGGGCAACGCCATGCAGGTGCAATAAGGGAAATTTTGCCAGGGCAGCGGCATTAGCCTGCTCTTTTTCGATTTCCAACTGTTGAGGGATCTTTAAGCCTTCAAATCTGTGTGTACAGAATTATTTGCATTTGAAAGTTTAAGGTTCTTGCAGTTGGTAAGAGCATTGGTTTTTAACATCATTTGCTTAGTCATATAGAACAAATAATGGTTGCGGGTGCTAATCTTGGTCAGTGTGTTAATTTCAGATGACCCTGAATAAGACATCACTCATAATTCCAGTAGAGTCAGCTGTAAAAGGATACGAATAACCTAGGAAAAATCAGTGCCGAGGTTTAGCCATGGATTAGCTGGTGGAGAGGATCCTATAACCTAAGTTGTTATCTTTCTAAAATATAGTTGTTTCTTTGAAAGAAAACAAAGACAGGAGTCCTATCACAGTCAGATGTGACTGGACAAAAAAATAAACAATTGTTAATTTTCCTGGCAGGCTGATTGGAAAAACATCAGCAAAATAAAAAAACCTATTTTGTCCACTGGCCTTCATCTACAGACTTGGCCACAATTATATCTAAGATTTCAACCTAAATTACTTTTAAAGTTAAAACATGAAAAAGATCTTGTGGAATATTAAGTGGTTTAAATTAAGAGCTGTCTGAAGTATGGTTACTCAGATTACAAAGTTTATATTTTTTATACAAGGTTAAATTTCTTTAATGAATAATAGATTTTTAAAATTAGCATTAATTTCTGCTAAAGAAGAGGTGAAGGTCAAAATAATCCACATGCTGTTATGAAAAGCACAAAAATGTTTTTAAGTAACCAAGGTTTAAGTCAAACATATTATAGCTTTACACTTTTTTAGTCATTTCACTTGACTATAACTACAAAAACTTAAGACCTAAGAGGATTATATAGAAGTTTTTTAAGCTTTTTATGTGTATTGTGAACACTGATAGCATCGATTTTCACAATTTTCTCAATAACAACCTTATTGCAAATATATCACTAGTATCTTTCAGTGATGTCATTTAATGCTAGGACAGTTGCAATCATAGAACACTTAGTTTTAGTGGAATTGCAAGAGACATCTGACTGAAAATTGGAGCAAATCTATGCCATCAATATTCCCCACATACTTAATAAGTTCAGAAAATTTCTTCACAATATAAGTGTCACCTTAAGATCTCAAAATCCAAACATAAAGGTCTTGAAAATCACCCCTTTCAATGACATGATAAATAATATTATTAAACTCATTTAATAAATACTACTATTAAAAAGCAATTACAGTAACAAGTTCTCTTTATATCAATACTCTTCAGCTATTTAAAGTTATTGAATCAAGATGGCTACCTACAGGCTATGATTATTAATGATATACAAAAATAAAGTATTCAATCAATTCATTGTCTTATTCAAGCCAGACTACAATGGGGTATTATCAGTTTAAAATATTGTTTAGTATCTATTAGGTCAGATAAAGACTTCTTTCTTCTGCCCCGCCTACTATTTTCAAGTCTATTTCTTTTCATTGAGCATCTTAATGAATGCTGCAAACTGGTTATAATTCAAAATCACAGTCAACAAGATTGTTGGAAACCTTACATGAAGTCAATTGCTCGATCATGACAAACAAATGGTGGTTGTGAGATCTAATCTCGGTCAGCATGTGAATATCTGGAGAATCTTCAATAAGTCATCTTTCCAGTTGACTTAGCTGTGATGGGTACCAAAGAAGAATAAGCTAAGAGGTTTGCCCAAGGACCAGCTGGTAAAAAGGATCTTAAATGAACTTAGGTGGTTATGGTTGTAAGAAATAGTTGTTTCTATCATTCTTTCTTAGTATACATTTCTAAGTGTTTCATTCCATATTTCTACAACAAGTTTCTACTCTCATGTCAAATTATCAATGGACAACATACTTATTTCAATTGTGTCTTAACTAATTTTGACCCCATTAATCACGGGTAATTAATTTTAACCATCAATAGAAACATGTTAAAAGACAATACCAATCAATGTTTCTAAATGAAAATACCAGAAACTTGGGTATACAAAGCCTTCCTGGAACAGGGCGTTTCATTGGCTTAATATTCAAGCGTCCTTGAAGATCGAGGATTCATCATTGAATCTTGTCTCAAAGCTCCATATTATTCAATATCTGAATATGAAAACATATCTTTCAATGATGAAGTATTGCTATAAGGAGTTGAAGTGATTAAATACATTAGTAATATCTCACTTCTCATCATGTTAGTACCTATCAATCATCCTGTATTGTATTTACATCTTTACCATCTGCTGGCCAAAACATACACTCAAACCACTTCTACAGTTCAAGTTAACTTGAAAAATAAAATATCAGAGAGGCATCAGGTGTTCCAGAAAATATCTGTAAAAAGTGCCTCTTATTATTTATCAATAATACTGTATTGACATCTTTACCATCTGCTGGCCAAAACATACTCTCAAACCACTTCTACAGTTCAAGTTAACTTGAAAATAAAATATCAGAGAGGCATCAAGTGTTCCAGAAAATATCTGTAAAAAGTGCCTCTTATTATTTATCAATAATACTGTATTGGCATCTTTACCATCTGCTGGCCAAAACATACTCAAACCACTTCTAATTGACTTAGTTGTTCCAGAAAATATCTGTAAAAACTGCCTCTTCTGCCGTTAAGTTTTAGCTGAGATTAAATAACACAAAGGCATTAGGTGTTCCAAAAAATATTTATGAAACGTAATTCTTCAGAAGTCAAGTTAACCTGACTAGTGTAAAAAAAATTCCAAAAATATCAGAGAAAAGTGCCTCTTCAGAAATTAGGTTAAGTTGTTAAGAAATATCACAGAGACATTAGGTGTTCTGGTAAAATAAAGAAGTCAAGTTAAGCTGTCAAGAAAAATCAAAGTGGCACCAGGTGTTCCAGAAATTTCTATTGTATGTTATCTTTATACAATATCATACTTAATATTATGCAGAGGTCAGTATAGTACAGTTATAAGAGCCCTAGCTATTTGTTATATAGGTACAGGTAAATAGTGAAATCTGATCTATTAGGAATGTATGGAGTTATTTTCTATATTGACCTCTACAGTATGATAGGAGATAAGCTACATTAGCAACCAATGAATGGTAAAAATCATAGACATAGTCTGCTGGAATTACCAGATTGGTTGGTGATGCTATATTTGACTCCTCTCAGAGCTCATCTTGAGCTGTCAACACATGTTTCTGATATGTAATCCATCATCAAAACAACTAGTTGAAGATGGAGTTATCAATGTACCTAGCATGAAATGTAGTTTCATATCCTACATTTTTGTTCCTGATGCTATAGAATTGAGGCCAATGTATAAGCAAAGAAAATGCAGTCATTATCATATCCTCCAAATATTTCTTGGGAATTGACACTTGGGTGTTTTGCAGAAATGGAAAAATCAGAGGACAGAAGATGAATAGAAAAAGTATTTAAAAATAATGGTTGTATTCTCTTCTTCTATTTCTCATCTATGTGGCTGTGCCAATGGGGGTACAATGGTTTGCCCTTGTAGAAAATGGATTTTGCCCCCAATTGTACCCCAGTTCAGTTTCATATATATATTTTTTTGCCACAAAATTATGTGTAAGAATGCACCAAAACAATTTTTCATACATTTTCTCAAGTAAGGACCCACTGAGACACTCCATGGGAGGCTTGTGACTATGTGCTCCATAGAACTGTTGCATTCTGAATCTTCCCCCTATTTGTCCCTGAGTCTTGGCGAACTGGTGCTACAGATGTTAATGAACTGGCATGTCAACAATATTTAGTTCAATCTTGGTTCTAAAGTTTGTCCACTTAGAATAGATGTCAAGAGAATCAACATACCTTTCATTTGATATATTTATGATAATAAAGATGGCTTCCTTTTGACTTAAACTTGGCAAAAAGAGGAAGAAACATCAGGTAATAACAAGAAGAAGGAAACCACAATAAAAATGTATTGTTTTCT